GGCATTTTATCTACTGTACAACCAGGAATCTTTAATTGAAACAAAGACTTCTAGAAATCTATTACTGGTATGTTTTCTCTTTGCCAGAAGCCTAAAAGAACTGGATGGTGGCTGGCTACCATTAGTGAACATTTTGATCGAAGAGTTTATAGAACAATCCTGATCAAAAGGGGGAATATGCAGAACAGAATTCCATAGTTTCATAGAATCCGGACTTCCTGGAGCCATGGAGGTTGGATGAAACCCTGAAACTATTGCCCTGAGATCATTTTTTACCCTTAAACCAAAAATATCCCTTGACCTCTTCTTAAATCCAAAGAATGTTTTTCAGTGCCCTCAAGTCAGTTCCAGCTCACAGTGACCCCATGTACAACAGAACAAAACACTGCCCAGTCCTCCCTATCCTCACAATCCTTGCTATGCTGGAAAGCCCACCCTTTCAGCCACGGTGTCACTCCATCTCATTGAGGGTCTTCCCCTTTTTCGCTGACCCTCTACTTTACCAAGCATGTATCCTTCTCCAAGGGCTGGTCCCTTCTGGTAACATGACCAAAGCAGGTGAGGCGAAGTCTGGCCATTCTTGCTTCTAAGGAGCATTCTGGCTATACTCCAAGACAGATTTTTAAATTGCTTTGTAAGTCCGTGGTATATTCATGATTCTTTGCCAGCACTACAATTCAAATATGTCAACTCTTCTTCTGTCTTCCTTATTCATTGTCCAGCTTTCATATGCATATGAGGCGATTGAAAATACCATGGCTTGGGTCAGATGCACCTTAATCTTCAAGGTGACATCTTTGCTGTTTAACACTTTAAAAAGGTCATTTGCAGCAGATTTGCCCGGTGCAATACGACCTCTGATTTCTTTACTGCTGCTTCCATGAGTGTTGATTGTGGATCCAAGTAAAATAAAATCCTTGACAACTTCAATCTTTTCTCCATTTATTGTGATGTTGCTTATTGGTGCAATTGTGAGGAGTTTTGTTTTCTTTATGTTGAGGTGTCATCCATATGAAGTCCATAGACTTTGATTTTTATCAGTAAGTGCTCCGAGTCCTCTTCACTTTCAGCAAATAGGGTTGAATCATCTGCATATTGCAGGTTGTTAATGAGTCTTCTTCTGATCCTGATGCCACATTCTTATTCCTATAGTCCAGTTTCTCAGATTATTTGCTCCGAGTACCGACTGAATGAGTGCAGTGAAAGGATACAAGCCTGGTGCACACCTTTCCTGGTTTTAAATCATGCAGTGTCCCCTTTTCTGTTCTAACAACTGTCTCCTGGTCTGTGTACAGGTTCCTCGTAAGCACAATAGTTCTGGAATTCCCATTCTTAACAATGTCATCCATACTTTGTTATGATCCGCACAGTCAAATGTCTTTTGCATAGTGAAATATTAAACCAAAAATATCCCTTGAAGTCTTCTTAAAACCAAACAACACTATTTGTGCTACAAATTTATCGATATACATCATAGAACTAACAGGGGTTGGAGATATTCAGTGATAGCCAAACACCTAGAAGGAGTGAATCACCTCATCTGCGGGCTGGCAACCATGGTCTCAGGGGGCATCCAGCTCAATTGGCACAACACAACGCGTAAAAATATTGTTCCATCCTACTTTGGTGAGTAGCAACCAGGGTCTTAACAACTTTTAAATGGCCATCTAAGATGCAACTATTGGTCTTCCCTCATCTGGAGCAAAGAGTGAAGAAAATCATATGCAAGTCATATGGAAACAATGGACCATGGAAACCTTAGCCTTCATGACCCTGAGACCAGAAGAACTAGATGGTACCTGGCTACCAATGCCAACCACTCAGAAAGGG